CCAGGACACCGGGGTTACACCCCTACTCTTTTCGAGAAACACCCTGGGATTTTTAATGACCACAGAGAGTCAGGACCTCGGTTTTACGTCTCATCCGAAGGACGGCGCTAGTTTACAGTATAGTGTCCCCCATCACTATACTGGGGCATTAGGACCCACATAGACTGCAGGGTGAGCGCCCCCTGCTGGCCCCACTAACAACTCTTCCAGCAGCAGCCTTAGTTTTTCCCAGGAGGTCTCCCATCCAGGTACTGCCCAGGCTCACACCTGCTGAGCGTCAGTGGGCTGCCAGTTGTGAGTTGCAGGGCGATATGGCTGCTGGCCATAAAAGGTCACGGATACCTGCTGCTGCTTTTAGACAGCGCCCCAGAAGCCTCACTGAGCCCTGAGCCTGTGGTGCCCAGCCCTGGCCCTGGCGCCCCACACACCTGCTGGCTCTCAGGAGATCACTGAGCCTCGCTTCATCTGAGGAGCTGCTTCGCTGGAACATTTGCCCTTTGTTTCTACTCACAAGCTTGGGATCTTATTTCACTTACAAAATACAAAGGGTTCGAGCTGCAACATGTGTGGGTCACCAGGCCCAGCACTGGGGACGCCTGCCCAGAGCCCTGCCTCCGGCCCGCACCCCTGCGCTACGGAGCGGGCGTGGCCTTCGGGGGCGCTGGCAGTCCGAGGGGCACCGTTATAAACAGGGTACCGGGACCCCCAGACCCTCAAACGCTTCTATCAGCCACGAAACGCGGAGGGGTTTCGATGTGTGGTGAAGAGACCTGTCGTCTCGTCCGCCCAGGACACAGAGACAGCACAGGGACCGTCACGGGCTCCTTGTCGCGAGGGGGCGGCAGTGGGGCCGTGGCCGTGGCTGTATGTGCAGCCTGTGCCGCCTACTGTATGTCATATCGGAGCCGAGCAGTCACGCCCACCCTCCAGGGCACGAGGAAGATCTTTGCCTCCGTGCATTAGTCCTTTTTTTATAACGGGGCCGGTGTGAAGGAGCCCACGGTGGACTATTGCTCTCGCTACCCCGAGCCCGTGAGCGCACCTGATCTCCCGAAACACGCCCTCGGCTACATCGGTAAGGAACGCCGCTTACAGCCCGGACTGTCTGACGTCACCGCCCCCCCCCGTCCCGTCTGCGCCCCTGCGGCCGCTGCCAGGGCAACCCGCTCCTTAAAGGAATGGAGAGCGCGTGCGTCTCGCTGTCGGGGAGCGTTCGCGTTCGGCGAGCTCGCCCTCCGCTCGTGGGCACGACGGGGGCTCGTGCACGGCCGGCGGACTGGTGTTTTGTGACAGTCGACCGCAGCACGAGAGGGGAAGAGAGGGGCGGGGCAGGGCCCGGTGCGCTGTTTCTGGGCTGCCGTCACCGCCCCATTCCGCGGAGAGGTCAACGGGTTCTTCCCACACAAACCCCCCCCTCGCATTTTTACACCTCCTTAAGGGCCTTGAGCCCACTTGTCCGTGACGGGCTGTCACCGTCACTGTGACCCTCGGTGTAGTGATAATTGCACGAATGTTAGTGTTCTCAGCAGTACCGCTCATCGGTATCACGATTACATTAGAAACATAATAATAATTATTACCAGATGTGCTGAATCGGGGCTGCGAGTTCCTAAAATGAATGTCTAATTCGCTATCATAATTCATCTGTGTTGACGTGCAGGGAAAGCCGCATGTAGCCTACATTCCAAGACGTTTCCTATCGCGGCTCTTGAGGGACCCGTAGAAACTGACGCCCTTAAAACGCGACACGCCGCAACTCGGGGGCAGCAGCCGTGCTGGCGCCGGACCCAGGGCTGCGCGTCAGAAGAACTTCTTCCGACGTCGGTCCTGCTCCGACGGACTCGTCCTGCTCGCGTTTTCCATGAAGCCCCCCTCTGCCCCTGCTCGGTCGGAGCCCCAGCAGTCCGAGCCGTCGCCGAGTATAGTAACTCACCGAGCAGCCCGGAGCGCCCCACAGTGTCCCGTTTCAAAGTGATAAGGGTTGATTGAGCCCCTCCGCCGGCTTGGGGGGGGGCAGATTCGGCTGATTTCACCCTACAGTACCCCCAGCGTAGCGGCTACACTTTGTCACTGCGTCCCTGCACAGCTAAATCTCCTTCCCGTTTTGTGGCAGCTCACGGTGTGCAGTTCTGTACCCCGCTGTCCCACCACCGCCTTCTTCGTTGCGTGATTGTCAGCACCGACTGATCAATCAAATCAAGTTCAAGTTCAAGCCATATTCAAGTATACAGAGGAGCGAGATATCGTTCTCCAGGTCGGGGGAACTTCACAGGCCACTTTTTTTGTTTCTAAAAATCAAACTGTATAGCTCGTGCAGACACTGCCTCCCGAAGCAAGGATGCTGAAGCGCCTAGAAGAGCGCGTGTCGGCGTGCCCGCTATCCCCAACGCGCGCACTCGGACAGCGTGGGGAATTGTGACGTCAGAGCTCTGAACCGCACCGGGCGCTATACCAGATGTATATCCCATCTATCAGACCTACTTCAGGTGGTCCATTGCGGAAGATAAACACGGATGTCCACGGGTTAGGGTTGGTGCCCAGGTGTGTTCTTAAATTCAAAGGGGATTGGCACAGCGAGGGCCCTGCTGTAATTACACACCCCATTCAGGGAACAAGCACCCACAGAAATAACAGACAAACACCTCCTTTTAGAGAGTGCAAACGGGCAAGAGTCGAGGAGAGAGAGAAGCTGTTTGATAGCGGGCTGGAAGAAAAAGGACCGGACAACGCCGGAGCAGTTTTTTTTTTCCTAGGTTATAAAATCTCCAGTTTTTTGTCTGGAATTTTCCATTCCCCAAATCCCAGTCTTGTTTTTTCAGTCTCTCAAAAAGTTCCTCCCCCTTCTCCTGCGCGTGGGAAACGGCTCTCGAGCGCAGCAGTGCCCCAGCAGCTGCGCGCTGTCAAGCAGCTGTAACTCTGCCCCGCGCTTCAGCGCAAGAACCCCGGGCACTTCTTACTAAAGGACACGGCTGGGTTCAACACACAGTCGTGTCTGCTTCCAGACCCAATTCACGCTGCGTTTTACAAACGGCAGCCAGAGTGCCCGCTGAGCAAGTCGGAGAGACACGAAAAACCGACGCTTGAAGAAAGATACAGTATACAGTATGTTCCGCTGTCTTATGTAGACGGAGGAGTGGAAACGATATAATCCCGTTTTCCTCCGAATATATGACAGAGCAAATATACAAAACAACAGCAAAAACAAAAGATACATTGCGCCTAAGCAGTGTTAAAGAATTGCATCCCCATTCAATGAGATGACATGACCATATACGGTACAGCAGCCCTCATAAACCGAATGCTCGGTCCTATTGACTGGCGGGCTGTGTTTCCACACTAGGTGCTCGTGCGGTTTACCTTCGCTGTCTCCGTTCTGGTCCGGAGTCTCGCCGGGAGCCCTCGCGGCCGCGCTCATCTCGAGACAGTGTGGGCCGACTGCAGGGCAGGACGGGTCTGTCGCCGCGGGGCGCCCGCAGGCCGGCCGAGCACCTCGAGCCGGGCAGCCAATGAAAGCGCGGGGACACCGCGCCGAGCGCGGGGCACGCGAGGGGCTGGGGGCGTGGAGGGGGGGGGGGGGTATTTGCAAGGAGCGAGGTCTCCTCTTTCACGCCTTCTCCAAGTTCGAGAAAGATTTGGTTGTCTGGAGAGACAACGCGATAACGCGCCCGACCAACCTGGGGGTCAATTTACAAAGATGCAAGACTTTCTGCATTTATTTCCCCTTCAAGCCTGGAGTGTGTATATTGTTACATGGGGGGGAGGGGGCATTAAAATGTGTGATTGATCTTCAGGTATGTTGTCGATCAGAACACGGCAGAACAGCAACAGGTCGTCTGCCTGCTTCGCCCACCCGGCTCTCCTCCTGCGTCGGAATGAGTTCTGAAATCTGTAACTCGAGTACCGGGAGTGCAGGGCGGCGGCAGGACGCCGTAGCGAGCCAAGCGCTCGGAGGGGCACTGGGGGCTGAGCCGAGCCTGCGCTGTGCCGACCCCGAGTAAGCCCTGTGCCGCCGAAAACCCGCTGCCTCCAGCTAAGGCTACACTTGGTCGCCGCGTCCCTGCGCGGCTAAATCTCCTTCCCGTTTTGTGGCAGCTCACGGTGTGCAGTCCTGAACCCCGCTGTCCCACCACCGCCTTCCTCGTTGCGTGATTGTCAGCACCGACTTATCAATCAAATCAAGTTCAAGTTCAAGCCATATACAAGTATACAGAGGAGCGAGATATCGTTCTCCAGGTCGGGGGAACTTCACAGGCCACTTTTGTTTCTCTAAATCAAACTGTATAGCTCGTGCAGACACTGCCTCCCGAAGCAAGGATGCTGAAGCGCCTAGAGGAGCGCGTGTCGCCGTGTCCGCTATCCCCAACGCGCGCGGCCGACGGGCTCAGCAACTCTTCCAACACTAGCGGGGGGTGCGAACAGGCGAGGCTTTTAAACGGGGGGGCGGCTGAGGTGCCCTTCATCAGCCGAGGCTTTGCAGGAAGAGACACCGCTCCGATGCGGTTGAACCAAGCCCCGCGGCAGGGACTGCGACTGCACGGACTGCTCGGCTCAGACAGGAAAAACAGCACCTGGCTAGCGGCCAAGGGCACACAGAGGTTAACCAGTTCGCACTGGCCCTGTTTGACTTGGGGGGAAGCAAAGTCGGGGCCAACAGGTCCAAAGGTATCGAAGAACAAGTCATTTGGCCCAAGTCCAGCTGACCGCCTGCCAGCCCAGGGAGGGGGAGACAGTCTCTCTCCTGCAGCCCTGGGGGCCCAGGTCAGACCTAGGACTCCCAGAGAGCAGACAGGACAGGCACTATTGAGCAACAGAAGGATCTACTTCCAGCAAACACTGGACACAGGGGGGAGGATGCAAGGGTTTCTAGTCATGTGCGGTCAGAGGATAGAAACTATGGAAAAACACAAACAAAAACATCCCCATGCTTGTCTTCTCCTTCTTGTCAGTCTCATTCATCCATCTATCCATTTTCTAATTGCTTCATCCACTTCAGGGTTGCAGGGAACCTGGAGCCTATCCCAGCAGGCAACAGGCACAAAAGTGTAATGTAATGTTAATGTTTCTTTATTAGCCCTATACAATTTCTTGCATTAGGAATGCGTCTTTTCGCATACCCCAGCTTTTCTCCATGGAGACACACACACAGAGACAGGGAGAGAAGCTTGGGGTCAGAGCGCAGGGTCTGCCATTGTACGGCGCCCCTGGAGCAGTTAGGGTTAAGGGCCTTGCTCAGGGCCCAACGGAGTAGGATTCCTCTGCCGGCTGGGGGATTTGAACTGGCAACCTTCCAGTCAGAGGCGCAGATCCCTAGCCACAGAGCCACCGCTCTGGACAGGGCACCTGTGCATCGCAGGGCACAGACACAGACACAGACACTCACAAGCAGGGCCAATTTTCCCAAAAACCAATTAACCCACCACAATGCCTTGAACTGTGGGGGGAAAACCAGGTGAACAACTGGAGAACATGCAAACTCCACACAGACAGCACCCCAGAGCTGGAACTGAACCCAGGGCCCCAGTGCTGCAGGGCCACAGACCCTTGACGGTGGATGTCCCAGTGGGATGTGGAGATGAGCAGAGGGCTGGTGACCTCATGGTGAAAGCGTGGTGCAGCAGTACAGTGCGACTGAACCTGTCTTCCAGCCATATACACAGTGCGCACAGGGTTCGAATTCCCACGCCATAATGTAACTTTACACGCACAATGGCTGGCAGGGACCAGCAGTGAGTCAGTGCCTTGGAGCACTGTCCTTGCCCAGGTTCTGGATCGCACGCAGATCCGTTCGGAATCCGTGGACAGGAGGGATGGTTGTATTTCCGAACTCCCTTGACGCAGCCTCAGGCTGCAGGGGCTGATTTTCCTTTTTTTCCCCTTATTGGCATTCCCAGCGTTTGGAATTAGAGCTAGTGAAAGCAGGCTAACTTTGATCTCATGGGTTTTAGTCATGTGATCGTCAATTACAAAGGAGAGGTCATTCAGCCCATCTAGTAATTAGCTAATTGCTTCGGGGATCTCATCCAGCTGTTTATTGAAACATGCCAAGGTATCGACTTCAACAACATGGCTGGACAGCTCGATCCACACTCCCACCACCCTTTGTGGAAAGAGGGTTGATAGTAGGTGCAGTAGCTACCTTTTGGGAACACAGAAAGACACCTCTGGCTTCCCTTGTTTTTTTGCAAAAAGCTACATCCTACTGGCATACAGTGGAAATACTTCAGACCTGTCTCTTGACATATTTTCTGTGCTGCATTAACGCCACAGCCCATGTTCTTTACTGGCACAGAAAGAGCAAGTTTTCAAACAAATTCCTAGAGGATATTTTTTTTATTAGAAACACACCCTTGCACACCTTCCAGGAATGTCCTGGGTGGCTTCCAGAGATGCATACCTTTTCAGTCTGCTCCAAGTGGGAAGAATGGAGCCTTTTTCTCTCCTGCCCAAGGAATTCTTAAACTCAGGATGGGATAAGAGGCAGTTCTGCAATGCAATTCTGTGTGCTTCAAAAGCAAGGTCTCCTTCAACCAGGAGCCTTGCTTGTCTGCCCAGGACCACTCCCGGAAAGACGTTGATTTTAGAGACTGTCCGGCCAGCGAGAGCATGTAAGACCTGGATTACATCCAAATTCCATCCTGCTCACTAATCGGACATTTTACAAATGTGGTGCTTTGATTTCGCCAGGATTCTTTCCAGCCCATCGGATACCGGGATCGTGGCTCGAACGTTTGATATGATCCCATCCTTCATCCGACTTGCAGCATGTTCAGTTAGGGAACCCGGGGGTGAGGATATTGTCTTAATTTCAAAAGCAAGACAATAATATCAGGGCTTGTGGGACTCAAAGCTGAGTTTGTTAAGATCCCTAGAAAATGTGTTAATCACAAAACATTTACTTTACTGGCACAGTAAACCAGCCTAATCTCCATATTGATTCAGGTAATAAGATAAAACCATTACTGGTTAACACACAGGCACATATAACACGTTATCAATTCCAGTAAAACAGAAGGATTACACAGTCACATGTTACACGTGCAGAGACATGGCCAAAGTAATGATTGATAATTCAATCAATAGGTACGAGCAAAAAAGTGTCTTAAAAGTATCTGTTTTATGTGTATTATGGTCCGGATCTTAACAGTTTTTCAGTTTGCAAAGAAATAAATAAAAACAAGAGTTTCCCTTAAACTATGTTTCTAGAACAATTTAACTCTGATCAATCACGCAGAGCAGTTGACTACAATGAATTGAATTATTTTCAGACCTTTTGGAACACAAATCTTCCGCCCTCAACAAATGAGCTCTATGATTGGATTACAAATGAGTTAATGGCATTGATTTGGGTTGAACCAGAAAACACACAGGACATAGGTTCCCAGGAATTCTGTTGTAGAAACCAAACCCTTCTCCGATTTTTGTTCCAATTTCCTAATTACAGGAGACCTGTGTTCAGTTTAATAATAATAATTGCTTACACTTATATAGCGCTTTTCTGGACACTCCACTCAAAGCGCTTTACAGGTACTGGGGACTCCCCTCCACCACCACCAATGTGCAGCCCCACCTGGATGATGCGACGGCAGCCATAGTGCGCCAGAAAGCTCACCACACACCAGCTCTCAGTGTAGAGGAGAACAGAGTAATGAAGCCAATTCATAGATGGAGATTATTAGGAGGTCATGATTGGTAAGGGCCAACGGGAAATTTGTCCAGGATGCCGGGGTAACACCCCTGAGATTTTTAATGACCACAGAGAGTCAGGACCTCAGTTTTATGTCTCATCTAAAGGACATCACCTTTTTACAGTATAGTGTCCCTGTTACTATACTGGGGCATTAGGACCCACATAGACCTCAGGGTGAGTGCCCCCTGCTGGCCCCACTAACACCTCTTCCAGCAGCAACCTTAGTTTCTCCCAGGAGGTCTCCCATCTGGCTACTGACCAGGCTCACACCTGCTGAGCTGCAGTGGGCTGCCAGTTGTGAGTTGCAGGATTTATATGGCTGCTGGGCAGCCATTTGGGGCAGATCTGGAAATTTGCTTTCATATCAAATGGCATTTGTAACTGTATCAACTCTGTGCCCCGATGTTCAGAACTGCCCTCAGTCGGGTCCGCAAACGGAAATGCAGCCCACCAGACCCGCAGAATGAAGAAGCCTGTAGCTGCTCGAACATGGAACGGGGCGGGGCTACACCTGGGTGGAGCCAAACGTTTATCCCCGCCCATCGCGAGTTCTCATTGGCAGAGCGAGAAGCCCGTCGCTGCGGGACATGGGCGGGGCTACACATGGGTGGAGCTGAGCGTTTGGCCTTGCCCGTCTCAAGAGTTTTCTTCGGCAGCTCTTGCCCGAATCCCTTTCTGAGTTCTAATAAGACGCGGACAGATCAGGAGAATAACATAGCGGTAAGGAAAGTTGCACATTTTAATGATCTTTTACTGGATAAATCTCTCGCCAGGCTACTTTTTAATGTTTTCCTTAAACCTTAAACCGAAGGCAGTGCTCCGGACAAGTGGACAAGTGGGCGGGGCTGAATACGTGACAAGAATGGGAATACAATTCTAATTTCTTAAAAAAAACTGTTTAGCTCTGTCCATATGTTTATCCCCGCCCCGTGTTCTGCTGCGAGGGGTACTTAGCGGATGCTCGTCGGGGGCGTGTCTGATATAGGCCACTCCCACGGTGGGCGGGTCCGTTACAGACACGTGTCTGTTCATCGTCAATTGAGTAATCGGAAATATCGTCCGGTAGAACCCAGCTATTGGAAACAGAACCCTTGAAGTCGGATATTTTTGGTACTCAGGGCTGAAAATAAATAAGCATACTGATCAAATAAGTCTTCAATTAGCGTTGGAGCCCCTGAGCTCAGCTGGAAATGAATCCGGCAGACAGCGTTCCGGCAGGAGGAGTTAATGAAACAATTGTCTTGAAATTAAATGTCTTTACTTCTGGTGAGATATTGTGTCTCATAGTGGCAAAAGAAGATAAGAAATAATTTGTAGACAAAATATCTTTTTTTTCACCAGAGGAGTATAAAAAGTATTGCTTACCAGTGAGATCAGTCTTGCAGTTGCACTGTGAGGCCATGATGGTGGGACAGTCGTGCAGATTTCGTTCTCGTTTCGGATCCAGACGTTTTCTTTATCTTATTTACTTTTTCCTCGCTTGTGTACCGAGGCGCACCGACTCGATACAGAACAGACAGCGAGGCAGGGAACGGGGATAATCACCCGGATGACGTCAGCGCACGATCAATAGGGATGGTACAAACCCCGCCCCGGCGGGATCGGGTGATCTGAGCACGGGGACAAGGGTGCACAAGGGTGAAATCCCAGGGTGAAACAACGTGATACTTCTCGAGAGAGAGGTTATTGCAGGACAGCGCGAGGCAGCCGTGGAGAAAAAAATAATAAACATCCAGATTTCTTTTCCTCTTCTACCCTAAAAAGGGGGGAGTTAGAAAATAATCGACCGAGAAACTGGATGAAGAAGTTTGGCATCCGAGAAGCGATTAACCCGTGTGCTTCTGTTCACAAAACAAACGCCCTTTGTGTCGATTTGTTAAGTTCTCGGATCTTAATAAGAAAACTATAGTTGTGCGTCTAATTGACTAAACCCATACCACGGTCTGGGAACTGGTCAGAAAATTAATTCAATTATTTCTAAAGTTCAATTAGCTTCCATTATTCAATTATTTCAATTTGCTTTCTAACACCGGCTTAGTGACCCCGCACACCCGCAGGTTCCCGCTGAGTTCCGCTGTCGTGTCTGAAGCCTTAATTGACCTGCTAATTGATTGAAACGCTCTGCTCTCGGGTCCTGAACGCGGCGGAGGTAGCCTTTTTAACGACTGCGCTTCACCTTCACCAGCTAGGCGCCCAGTCAGTCCTCAGCTCATCTCAGACTGCTCGCCCACCGCCGGGGTACCTGGGGGGCACAGCCGGGCTCTGTGGCCGAGGAGAGACTGGTTAGGATCCGAAGGCTTGTGTCTCCGCTGCCTGTCAGATACGTAGACTGTAACTTGTGCTGCGCGCCACTGCAAAAACGTATCGTCCCAGGATAAATGGTAGCCATCCCTTTCCTTACCTCTTCCAATTCGGAGTCGCAGGGCGCTGGAGCCTGTCCTGGCAAGCAACGGGCACAAGGCAGGGTACACCCCGGACAGGACGCCAGTCCATCACAGGGCACACCGACACAGACACACGCACTTTCATTAAGTCGTGTTAAAACGGAGGTGGGAAGTTTTCAAGTTGTTTTTTTTAACAGCTCTTTCCAGGCTTAAACCTCAGAACGGCGCTCTAAATCCTCGCGATGTCTTTAAGAGAGAAAAAAATAAAGATTGGAAAAACTCTGCTCGAGTCTTTGGCACAACGCCGTGCACTTTATTTTAGGAATTAGAAAAAAGGGGGAAAGCAGACCCAGAGTTCTAAATCGGCAACCAATGATTGTTTTAAATATCCCCTAATTACACTGGACGAGATGAGAATGACGGCTTTGGAAACGCAAGTATCTAACTTTCAGGGCGAAAACGACTGCGATAAACTGTAGGCGCAATAAGGCGCGCTTTGCTTAACTTGCATCAACACGTATTATGGAAAAACAGCACCATGCCTTAAAATGGCTCTAAATGCGCTTACAGAAAATCCTTGATCGGTCTTTTGACCTTTGAATGTATGAGATTAGCGAAAAAGCACATTGCTGCGCACACCTAAGACGAGAAGCTAATGGAAGGCTGCATCCGCCTGTTCACTCGTGTCTATTCCGCTATTGTCCGCTAGGGGTCTCCACCCCGCTCTGACAGACGCTGGACGGTGCTGTAGACTGGGCATTCGTGACACTGCTGGTCACGCCTTCACGGGATAAACTGAGGAATAAGCAAAGGTTTATTCAACGTTTCAGCTGTTCATCTGTTCCAACAATATAGGCAATATCATACCATATAGGCACAACATTTACACCCGCAGAAGGTTCCACAGCCCAAACGTTGTTTCTTTTCTTCTCTTTTCAGCCTGGAACTAACCTTTACTTGTTCCTGCAGCTCCCTGCTTAAAACTGAGGAATGGCAGTCCTTGGGGTTTGGTACGGAGTGCTAATATCGGTCTTGGATTTGCCGTGTGGAAAAGTGGCAAGGGATTCCGCGCATTCAAATCTTGAAATCAACTTTGTTGCAAGTAGCAAAAACAAAACAAGGGCTCTCCTCCCCTTGAGTGGGGCTGCACTCCAGGGGGTGGGACATGGCTCCCCTCCTGCATGTTAAGGCCTGGAGATCCTTGGGGATAGAAAAACTCTGAAAACACAAGCAATTCTGTTTGCTGTGCCCAACGCCAGCCTCTGGCCGTTTGCCTGGATGTGACATTTATCCAGATCTCTTATTTTAGTTCGTCTCTTCTCCAACATCTGCTAATCCTCCTCATTCTGCAACATCTGCAAACCTGGCAGGCTCACTTATTAAAAATGCCTACATAGGGTTCATCTTCCCGTTTGCTCAGCGGGTCATTCGTGACGGGGACTTCACTGGCCTGAGGGAAGGTAGATTCTCCACTAGCAGGTGAAACAAAATGGCATATCGCAGGCAAGATGCACCTCAATTCAGCCCAGCGGGGAATCTCCTTCTTAAAGATTGTGAACCTGGAGGCAGCACACATGCAGGGAAATGTGCACATTTTTATTGTGAACGGGTTAATGAAAAAGGAGGACAGAAAAAGGGGTGAAAGTTCTCGTCTAGTCTAATAGTGGAGAGCTACAGAGATCTGTACTGGGACCACTGGTCTTCCTAATGTGCATCAATGATCGAGATTCTGGTATAGTCAGTAAAGTTGTCATGTTTGCCAAATAAATAGACACAGGAAGATAAAATTCGTGACTGGGGAACGCCAGGAAACTGACAAGTTTAATCTAGACAAGGGCAGGGTGTTGCACACAGGCAGCAAAACCATGAACAAAACAAAGTGGGGAATAACTGAGCTAGAGAAGGCTACTTATGGAAAAAGACTCAGGTGTTTTTATTGACACATTGATTACATCTTCTAGATTTAAGGGAAAGCTATGAAAAAGGCAACAAAATGTTAGTGTGTGTGTATATATATATAAAAAAAGTCCAGAAAATGGCTTTTGCAGTAATAAAGCCTCAGGTAGAATATTGTAGACTTATGGTCATTACAGTATGGAAAAGATTGCTGCACTGGTGTCTGTCCAGAGAACAGTAACCAGATGTATTCTGTGGCTGAAGGGACTGAACCTTTTTGATCTTGGACAAAAAAAAGACTACAAGCAGACTTTGTACAAGTATTCAAAGTCAACGAAGAGGGGTCAGGGGTTCAGTGTCAACACTGAATCACAAACCAGAGGACCAGTGCCAACGACGTGGAAGTGCACTTAAAACGGAGAACAGAAGTTGCTTCTTTATACAAAGGGTGGCAGGAGCAGGGAACAAGCCGCCCATCCATGTGGCTGAAGCCGATTCCCCGGTTTCTTTCCAGAAACAGCCGGATCAGATCCTCGGAACGATAAGCTGGTGATGTCGGGGCCTCCTCCCCTGTGTCAGGAGGGCTCCAGGAGGAAGTCGAAGGCCTCGGGGTGCAGGGGCGAGCAGTCCTGGGACAGCAGGGCGTGCAGGCGCGCCGCGGTGGCGCCCCGCTTCTCCCGCGTCCTCCAGGCGCGCAGCATGGCGAAGACGCGCTCGCAGTGGGCGTGCGGGTTCTCCTCCGCGCAGTGCTCCAGCCGCGCGCTGGGCAGCCCCAGCAGCAGCCGCCCCACCTGCTTCCACTCGTGGCCCACCTGGGAGGCCAGCTGCATCAGCTGCCGCTCCGACACCAGCGCCACGCCTGCAGGGAGAGGGGCGCCGTGAGCGGGGCCACGGCTTCCTGCTCGGGGTCTCAGGGCGGCAGAAGCCTGTCCCAGCAGGCAACAGGCGCAAAGCGGGCCCTCCTTGGGCAGGACACCAGTCCAACATGGGGCACACACAGACACAAGGGCCAACTCTCCCGGGAGCCACTTTGGACTGTGGGAGGAAACCCACACGAACACAGGGACAACGTACAAACTCCACACGGACAGCACCCCAGGAGGGCCCCAGTTCTGGCTGGCAGCAATTGCTTACCACTGTGCCACCGTGCCACCCAGTAAGACACCAGTGAAGCATACACTCTCCCAAGCTGCAGCTCAGAAAATATTTGTGGTGCAAAGTCACTCACCACCCTTGTAGGGGGACTAAGAGCCACTTGATTATATCAGTATAGTGCGCTATATCTCTCTAAAAAAAAAAAAGCCCCTTAAATGCTACATTCAACACAAATGTGGTGGGCTTCATTGTTTGTGCTGTTTGCAGGGAGACCGACCTCACGCAGCTGGGAGCCGCAGAGAGAAAGTGGTCTGTTGCTGGCCACCAGAGGGCGGTAGAGGGCAGAGAGTGAATCATTCAGCTTAGGGAAGCTGCACTGAGAAGAGGGAGCTGATTGGAGCAGGGGTCAGGGGTTAGGGTGAGGTATGAAGGTGCTGATTGGAGCAGGGGTCAGGGGTTAGGGTGAGGTATGAAGGCGCTGATTGGAGCAGGGGTCAGGGGTTAGTGGGAGGTA